ACTCAGTATGCGAAGCACGTAGATATCTTGAGTTATTTGTAAATGGTGAACTATTCAAGGGGTGTAAACTTCCAGATAAACTTAGCAGGCGATTTTATCCTACGAACAAGGATATCTATAACCATCTTTACAAAGGAAAGCCGAACCATTTTTCTTCCAATGATCAAAAGAACTTGGAAGAGCTTATTAAAAAATGGAAGTTTGAAAATCCACAAGATTTCTTTCTGTTTCGTCCTCACTCCGGCAAACCATGTGCAGAGGAGTCAACAGAGAACAATGATAACACCATCTCAAACGAAGATACAGAGGAATCGTTAGAGATGGACACAAGCACTTTAATTTTCTGTCATCAAACGAAATATCAGAAACACCTCCTAGGAAAGTATGGCAATCAAATGTGCTTACTCGATGCCACCTATAGAACAACGAAGTATGATCTCCCACTTTATTTCTTGTGTGTGAGAACAAATGTATGTTACCAAGTTGTTGGATCATTTATCATACAGTTCGAAAACATCAAATGTATACAGGAAGCGTTGATGGTGTTTAAGAAGTGGAATGCTGATATATGGAAGCCTTCTCGTTTTATGGTAGATTTCGCCGAAGAAGAAATTCAAGCACTCGAAACAACCTTTCCAGGTATGCAAACGTACAACAGATTTGCATCGTGGTTTTTTAAAGCTCCACGATAACGCTTTAAACATTTACGGAATTCCCCCCGATAAACTTTATACGTGTATGAATATATTGTCGCATTTTTTGCCATAATTCTAATCGCATGCAGACCAAAAAGTTAAAAATCGAACATTGAAAAATGCTAAAATAAACATAGTTGGTGTCGTTAGAGAAAAGTAGTTATTTCATTACATATAAAACATTTTCATGTAAAATAGATGCGGAAGTACTTCTTTGTGATTTTCATCGAGAGAAATCGTGGCAGGAGTGGACGTCAAAAATAGATAATGGTGTTTTTCAGAATAAACAGGAAATTCTAAATCTACTACGCAATATTGCACATGCTGCTACGTCTGAACAATGTCAAAAGTCAATGAACGCCCTGACAGAAAGCATATTTTGGAAAGAAAATCTCAAAATGAGAAACTGGTTTGGTGGAAAGTGGCTGCCAAACATTAAGGTAGTAAACTAAATATAGCGATGGAATCAACGTTGATAGAAAAGCGATGTACTATTCATGAAATAGTCTAAATTAATTTTTGCTATTTTCGAAGGAGACCCTTTTTTTATAAAATTATAAAATTTTACTAGGCAATTTTGTAAAACCAAATCTCCAGGGCTTATATCGTTGTATTATTTCATAATCTCAAATAAAATACTATGTACTAGCAGAACATGCAAAATATACTGTATTGATCGTTTTCTTACAGAGATGGTGTCAAGCGTATCGGACAGGAGATTTCATTTGTGCAGTGAACACGAACAATGGCATTGAAAGACAGAATAAGGCATTCAAATATGAGTACCTCCATGGGAATAAAGGGTGCTCCTTAAGTGATATGCTGACAGCACTTGTTGATCGGTTTCTCCCAAATACCTTCAAAAAGTAAAATTTTTAATACTTCACAATACTATAATGATTCTATGTTTTATAACGAAAAAATACCAGTTTTGAAGGAAAAATTCATTTCGTAGGGTTTTTGTTGTGTGACACAGGCCCCTTCTTTTGAAAAAACAACTGCTTAATTAACAAATTATTGAAAGGTGTGATTAGGCTAACTACAGCGGCACTTACTGTAGACTTTAGTCATCTTTGGATTCTAATAAGATGTAATAATATTCGTGAGTGACGTTTTCCTTTTACAATTTTAGATATGCTGAGCTAAATGTTAAATGTCACGAAGGTTACCGTGCTTATAATGAGGAACTTCCAAAATTTCTGCACAACAGACCTGCCAGAATGGTGTCTCATATTATGAAGCGTTGGGATAGTGACATTAGCAAAGACATGGTCCACATGGTGTCCCCAGGGGGTCTTTGAAGTAAAAAGTTCAACAGGGAAGGAGCACCATATCGTACTTTTTGGTGATGAACAAACGCTTCCAAACTGCACCTGCGTAGACTGGAGACACAACAAACTTTTGTGCAAACACTTCTGTGCTTGCATAAGAGCTTTTCCAGAGTGGAAATGGGATAGACTCAGCCCACTTTATCGAGAAAATCCACTTTTTCATCTAGATAACACCATAGTTCCAGCAGATAACTCGCTCGAAAATATTCCTAGTAAAAAAAGAGCAGCAGAATTCACCTCAACACATTAAGAATGAATCGCTTGTGCCAAATGATGCTGATGATTTTGCTCCTCTTCCACCGAAAAAGACATATGGTAAAAATGCTCTACGTCTCAAATGTAGAAATCTAATGAAAGAACTATCCAGCTTGACATTTCTTATAGATGACAAACAACAACTATTGTCTCTTACCAATGGTCTTAATACATTGCTAGAAGAAGCACGAAACTCTGCACCACAGGAAGCAGGAATAATTCTTCAAGATTCACTACCAAAACAAGAATCTAAAAAAAATGACAAAATCAAAAATAGTCAAAAGAAGCAAACAAGAGTTAAGTCAATTAATATTAGATCATATGGGCGTCCTAAGCACCCATACACTGGTCGAGTTGGAAGACGTGCAGAAATAATGAAAAAAAATTATAAAGTACATATACCAATACCTTCTGGTAAGGCTGTGAAGAGGTGTTCAACGGGACCTAATGTAATTGACCTCAGCTCGCCTAATAAACGGCTTTGCGAAAATCTTTCAAGACCACAGCCTTGGCTACATGTTTCAAATATAAATTTATCTCTGGTTGATAAAAACATACTTAGTTCAGGAGATCTAATGAACGACAAACACATCAATGCAGCACAAATTCTTCTTAAAAACCAATTCCCAGAAGCATGTGGCCTAATGGATACACTGATAGTATCAAACCAACTTAGTGGGGAAGGTTTACCAAATATAAACAGTTCAATGACTAACATAATCCAGCTTCATAATCTTCCAGGTCATTGGCTAGTATCTCAGTCAAATGGACAATCAGTGATAGTCTACGACTCTCTGTATCCTGGGATGACACATCCACTCACCATGCAATTGGTATACTTATACAAGAGTATAGCAAAAGGAGGTCTACTGCTAGTAAAACTCAGGTGCTGTCAAAAGCAAGCAGGATTTGTAGATTGTGGTCTTTTTGCCATAGCTAATGCAGTTTCTCTTGCTAATGGAATTTATCCTGGAGCAGTCATTTTCCAACAGAGCCAGATGCGTCAACATCTAAAACAGTGTCTGGAAAGAAAACAGCTCACAATGTTCCCACATGAAGTAAACAAAGAGCCTTGTCATATTCTGGAAAGGTCAACAATGATAAAATGCTGAAGGACTGTTCATGATGTACATTTTTATAAAATCAGTAGTGGATCTAGGGTAAGGAAAAATAAGTTATGGGCAATATTTTTCAATTCAAGTACCTTTATAACAATGGCTTTGTTTAGGAATTTTTCAAGGTTAAATGAAACCAATTGATGGACTGTTTCAATGTATTTTCCTAGATCCACCACTATATATATAAAAATAATCATGCATGAGACATAATGAAAGGCCATAGAAAAGCACATTTGGATTATGGGACATTGCACAATTATGGTTAAAATTATGGATAAGTATATTGCTATACACAGGTTATGTTTCTCTCTTCACATGTTGCAGTGATGATAATCAGGGTGGGAAACAGACAAAGTGTTGCATCAGCCATCAGAGAAAAATATAGTGTCTGGTCTTAATTAATAACCTGATAGGTACTGTTCTCAAATGCCATATCATGCTAATCATAAACTGATTTAATGTAAATAAATTTGTAGTAGACTAATATTGCTACCTAATAAGGCTGTTGATGTGTCGACCGGCTCAACCCGTGTAAAATTTCGTTTGTTAAAGATTTACCTGAATTCGACATATATCTTTGTATATCTCGCAGTCTCATATGTTTGTATCTCATAGTCGTATATATATGTACATATATATTAATGAGTGAATATTCCTGGATGTATTTTATTGTATATCTTGATAATTTGCTTCAATTATATGAGTAAAATAGTAATAATTATTCAATACATTTATATATTTTTTGCGATTCTTACCTTGAGAATGAATTTCTAGCATACTGATTCAATCAAATACCAACAACTTCATCACAATAAAACTCCTACACTAAACTATTCTCATTGATAATAGGTTTACCCAGGGTTTATCGCTCTATCTTTGTTCGTTATTCGTGATGCTCTCGTTTCTTTTTTCTGAAGATATTGCAAAACTCGCACCAGTCTCCCAGCGGAAATCTTATTTTGAAGTATACTATCTAGCAATCACCCATTTAATTTACTTGTATATGCTTGTTAATTGGATGTTAATTGTGACTTTGGAAATATCAATGTAAAATATTCCTTTATTTGATTTTATTAATATTTTGATGCTGATATTTTTTCTGTTTTCATGTAATACAAAAAATATTGATATTTTTTCCATTAAGTGAACACATTCCAGTATATTTGTGTACAATGTATACATTGTACACAAATCAGAATGCCAGATGTATCATTGATTAAAATGAAATTTTTTTTTTGAAGGAAACAAATTTACAACAAATTTACAAGTATATTGTATAGGTATTTAACTTCATCAATAAACGTGAGTCTTACACTAAATGTTAATTTTCCCCTGAGTTTTCCAGCTAAATACAAGTATATGTTTTATTCTGGTTAGGTTTGTTCTCTGTGTGAGAGTTAACATTTGTAACAGTCTCTCTGGCCACAAACTACTGGCAGATGAGAAATAGCCAAATGCTTGAAAGACAGTTTGGTTAGTGATGCACCTCACTGAGGAAAATGCATATTAGAAGATGACTTATGTTGTAACAACAACAGATTTTTATGAAACACAAAAGCAAAAATTGCTAAACTAGTAAACTATTAAAACTTATTCATAATTTATATGGCTCTTTCTTGCCGCAATGTCCATAGCCAATTAGATATCATGCATCTTACATCTTCAGCTGCATTTGTTGCTTGGCCAGATCCACGAATGAGATTGAGCTGGTTTACTTCAAGGCGCCATCTGGGCTTACATGGATCATTTCTGTCAATGCAAATGTTATGTAGCAAAATGCAAGTCATGATTAATATTTGAATATTATCCAAATGACATTCTGTCTTCTTGTACAAGATTTGCCATCTACCTTTAAGCATCCCATATGCATGCTTGGACACAACTCGGGCAGAACAAAGCCTCCTGTTGAAGTACCTTTTGGGGTTCTCGATTCCTTCTTTGTATGGCTTAAGCAACCACGAGTGGGATGGAAAGGCTGAATCACCAACAGTTGTAAGTGGTATTTCTCCATAGGGTTGTAGGTTCTGTGATTTTTTTGGCAGCACTTTGCCATGTTCAATTTCTGAGTATACTTCACAATTCTTTAAAAGCCTTGAATCATGAGTTGAGCCAGGTGCACCTACTGCAGCAAACATAAACCTTTTATTATATCCAATAAACCCCATATTAGTAACAGAATATCGCTTCTTGTAACTATAAAATTCTTCAATCTACTTGAAACATATACATGAAAGCCATCCCATGCCCCAACACATGGAAACTCCCAATTTTCAAGAAACCCTTGGAGTTCGTGTGTCCATTCATCTATTGTCTTTGGTAGGTAAATAAACCTGTCATACAAGATCTTGACCAGCACTTTGCAAACGTCCATGAAGATGCAATAAGCAGTTGATGCAGCAACACCAAATAAATCTCCTACTGTTAGATAGGTAACTCCATGTGCCAACCGATACAAACAAATTGCCAATTGTGTATCAAGAGTTGTTGGATGGGGTTTCATTCGAGTTGGTTGTTTAACAATTTCGTGACCAATTTCGTTAAGAAGAAAATCAAACGTCGCACGAGACACTCTGAAGCGCCTCTTGAATGCTGCATCACTCCAAGACTGATAGCCTTCAGACCACCAAGTATTTCTCCTGCGCTCATCAGGACGCCTGTCCTTCCTTTGTTTTCTAGTGAGAAAAATAACAGATGATGCTGCAGCAAGCGCTAGTTCGATCTCATCAGCTAATTCATCTTCGAAACGACGCTTTGCTCGTAATGCCACTCTTCATTTAGTTTTCTTTTCGAGATAAATACTTCACCAATTGCATTTCTGCCGCCATTTTGAATTTGAATTTTCTGCCATAGACGTTTGCTGCCGAGCCGAATTGACAAGTTCGTCTCGTTCGTCTATATGAATTTTGTGTGGATAGTTCGTCTCGTGTTTATACTTAGACGGATGATCTGTCAGACGGATGATTCGTCCAGACGGATGATCCGTCTCTAGTATAAAAAGGGCCAATGACAACACACAATTGACACCCACACATTACAACTAAAAACATCACACCTAAATCACTCATCACAACTAAAGCTGGATTTCCACTTCCCGGCAAGGACGGAAAACGGTAAACGCAAAACGGTATGCACACCGTACTGCTTTCCAATTTTAAAAGTTGAAGTCAAGTCAACTTTTTTCCGCGGAATTCATACCGTTTCACTTTTTAGCCAATCAAATTATACCACAAAAATTGACTCCTGGGTAGTAGCAAGATGGCGGATAATACTGAATTGATGCTCACAAAATTATTAAGTTTTCAGAGAAGCAATCCGCATGTCAATTATTATGGTAGCCAAATATTTACTGGATCTGAAGAATCCACGTATATATTGGATCAAGATATAATGCAGAAGACGACGGCGACTGAAGATGTTTCAAGGAGCAGCAACTGCTTAGCCAAACCAGTGATAATACGATAGACAATTTTGGACATAACGAAGAGAGCGAGTACTCTTTACAAAGTCAGAATCACTTCAGTAGTAATTTGATTGATGAAGTGAGGAATTATCCTTGCCTATGGGATTTGAAGTCCAAAGGGTTGAAGAACAGTGTTATGAAGAAACAAGCATGGTTAAAAATTTCAGAGCAACTCCATGTGCAAGGTACAGTCTCTAAATATGCATCAATGACAAAGCATCCTTTGACAAATGACAAGCAGGAAGCTTATCATGTTTATTGTGGTAACCAGAAATGAAATCTCTCATGTTTTTACTTTGTTACATGCCATTTCATGTGTTTATACCTGTGTGTTTGCATACCTAGCATTACATCTAAAAAACCATATTGTTAGTTTTGTCCTAGTTATGTAAAGTCCATAGCAAAACTTAGATGATATTGATATTTTGTTCATAAACTCATTTGCAGATGCTTTTATTTTTGCTATTAAACCAGATGTGTAAAATATTATGAGTATTGCACACCACATGTTGTGTTGTGCTTTCTTTTAAATTTGTGACTTGGTATGCTTTTGACAACAATTAGTTATTTTACCCATATGTTTTCAGCAATTGAAGCAGAAAATGAGTTCAAAAGGTTAAGAGAAAAGTTCGAAAGTGTCTGAAAAAGAGAGAATTGGAATCACGATCTGGAGCAGAAGCAAAAAAGTTACCCACATGTGCCTTCTTTGTTGAATTGAGTTTCCTTAGAGATAGTGTTTCTAATAGAAAATCAACAAGCAATGTGAATGTACCCAGACTATCAGATAGTCGATCATCGTCACCATTTGATTTAACTCAAGTATCCTCAGGCAGTTCCAATGAAATAGCAATTGCTGCACCTGGAATGAGAAATCCATCACCCAAGCCCAAACCATCCTCAGAAATCATAGCAGCCTCAACAAAAACTCGAAAACGAAAAGAAGATGATGACCCTTTGAATGCAGCTCTTACTGCAGCAATAGTCAAAGACATTAATAAATCTGGTGAAGACACAAATGATTCTGATTTACTTTTTTGTAAAAGTCTGGTGGCACATTTAAAACAACTCTCATCTAAGAAGAACAAGAGAGCTAGAATCAAACTTTTAGAGGTATTAATGAGCTTTGACATTGATGATGAATGATTAACTGCATGCTATATTACTGCATTAACTGGAACTGTAAATACCATTTTGATGTTTAAGTTCTTGTTTTATTTAATTCTAGTGTGTTTTGTTGAAGGTAAATTGGTTTTCAACTGATGCTTGTTGTTTTGTCATTTATAATTACAGTTGCTTTTTCTGAAGGCCTTATTAGAGCCTTCAGAAAAAAGCAACTGTAATTGTAATTATAAATGCACGATTAGAGCATTAAAATTCTGGTTATATGTGGGTATTTTTATACAAGTTTATTAGAAAACTAGCATACTTAAAACTTAAGAAATTACAAACTTTCTGCACATTATATATGTTCTACTTTACTCATATGTACATGTTTCATTAATGAATGCTCCAACAATTGTCAAACCCAGTTAAAGATAACTTGTATTATTCATGTGTTGCTGTGACATGCTTCAATTGCCATGGTACTTGCCCTGCCTCAGACATGAAATAATCACAAAAATTTTCTCGTATTCTCTTGGCTATTTTACTGTAATTATTAGAACCAAGTTGTTGAATGTCAGCCAACCCAGCTGTGCTATGAAATGCTTCTACTTCGTTGCGCCAGGCTCCTTTTTTAAATCCATAGCTGTTTTTGGTATCTGCAAAACCTGGAGGACAGTACCTACTTGCCTCAAAAGATTTGCCATGCATCAAGTAATTATGCAATGCCACAACCGCTTTTGTTGTACAAACGACCAAGTCAACTTTACCAATAATGGGGCGTCGCCAAATTCAGAAACGTGCAGCAGCTATGCCAAATGAGTTTTCAATGACCCTCCTAGCTCTAGACAAACGATAGTTATAAATCCTCTCTTTCAAAGAGAGTACCTCGCGCGGGTTGGGTTTCATCAGTTGCTCAGACAAACGGAATGCCTCGTCCCCAACAAAAACATAAGGAAATTTGTTTTCTGATCCAGGTATCTTCTCATTTCTGGGTAGATGCAAAAGATCATGTTCTATTGCATATCCTAGATTACTACTAGAAAAAACGCCTCCATCACTATTTCTGCCCGAGTCTCCGATATCTACGAGGGTGAACCGTATTGTGCATCGCACACTGCTAAAGAACAATTGAGTGAGTTTTTATAATTAAAGAAACTCGACCCTGATCTTGCTGGAGCTTGCATGACTATATGCTTGCCATCAATTGCCCCCAAGCAATGTGGAAAATTCCATTTGCGATTAAAATCTTTCGCAATGTTCATCCATTCGACTTCACTTTCGGGACACTTAACGTAAATGGGTGAAAGAACATCCCAAATAGCTGCCGTGGTCTCTCTTATAACACGGCTGATAGTTGTAGGATGTATACGGAAATTGCTTGACAGCGAAGCGTGAGTTTCCAGTGACCAAGTATCTTAGAGTAACTGAGAGCCGCTCACTCGGAGATATTGGTTCTCTTTTTCACTGCACTTGGCGATTTTAGGAGCAACAAGCTGCAAAAGTTCTTCGAACTGGGATACGGACAACCTGAAGTATTTGAAGTAGTATTCCCTATCAAAAAGTCTCATCTCTTCTACAAGGTGAAACTCTCCTTTTTGCTTTCTTTCCTGAAATATTCTTCGAACCCACATTCTCTTTTTGTATTTTTTTCGCAGTTGCATTCTTCTTTTCAATAGCAACAGCATCATTAATGTTTTTGTTCTAAGTTTAGCCATGATGATGCGCATCTGTTTTAAAATGTCCGCCAAAACAAGAGGAAATTAATAAACGGAGAATTTCCTTCATGTGTACCGTTTACCGTTTACCGTTACCGTCCTTACCGGGAAGTGGAAATCCAGCTTAAAAATAAAAATATTTCACTTCACACTAATTCACAATGACAATACACATTTCCTGTACACACAGTACAATGAAGTAAGAACCAGAAAACAAATATGGCTAACCTGACGTTTACTCGTCATTTGACTCTGAAAATGACTACTACTGCTAAGGTTGTCGAAATGTCAGTCAACAACAACAAAAACAGTCCTTCTGAGGACTATACCAACCTGGACGATCTACATTTACAAACATATTTTAGATAATTTATTTTTTAAATATATTTTTATAACTACAACATATTTGAGTATTTTTCTTCTCATTCCTACATTTTTGTTCATAAACTTTTTTAATCCTTGGAAAAAACATTCTATGAAATTGGCATTCCTTTTCTTTTTAACTCAAGTAAAATAGATCTTATTTCATGTTCTTTGAGATTTTATGTTTTTCTATTAGATATTAAATCATTTACTAAATCAAAGTAGGTAAAATTAAGTTTTTTCCCATTTATTTTTAACTCTTTTTTGTTTATACCATAATTATTGAAAAATCTTGAAATTAAATTGTAATGTTGTGCTTTTGAACCCCTCATTATTATTGGTGTTTTAAAGGAAGTACCACCACCATCTATATTTAAAGTATCCCCATCATCCATTATATCATTTGTATCTACAACTTTCTCGTTTTCTGCACTTTTTAAATCATCCACTTTATTCAAAAAATTAATTAAATTCCCTTTTCTTTATTTTTTTAATACATTATATGCTTTATTACTTCATGTCTTTTTGTATTGTTAGTTATTCCATTAAACCAATCATCTTCTTCACATCTTCTCTTCAATTCTGCCAATAATTTATTTATTTCACTTGTGTCGACAAGACCAAATTTCTCAACACTATTGTTTACTATTACTAATAATTATGTTATAAGCATCTTCTAATAGATATCCTGTTTGAACATCTTCACATAATAAATGTTTATATTATCACTATGTTTTTGTTTTAAACTTCTAATAAATATTTTTCAAAATAAAAATCAAATTGTTAAATATATTTTTATTTTTAATAAATTTTATTCTATTTTCTACTCTAGAATTAATAAATAATTTTTTTCACTTTGTTTTTGTTTTAAAAATTCAACTAATTTGACAATTGCTTTTAAAACCTTTTCATTTATAATATTTTCTACCTCATTATCCTCATCATTATCATCATCATAATTATCATCATCAGTATCAAATTTTTCTTCAGTCAATTTGTCAAAATTATTTTGAAAATCAAAATATTCCCCATTATTTTTCTTTAATTAAATTTTTTTATCTTTATCAATTTCTTCTACATTTTCTTGAAAATTATCTTCCTTTTCCATATCATATTTTCCTTCTTCATTTACATTTTCTTTATTTAATATATCATCCATTATAGATAATTAGGATTTATTACT